GCATTTTTGGCCAAATTCGGTCGAAACCGATGCTGCGTTCGTACCCTAGAGCCTACGAACAGTGACTCAAACTTAATTTTAATTGATATGCAAAGATCTGGCTAGAATGCTTGAGCTAGTGATTATATGCAATTTATCGGTGACGAGCTTTCCTCTAGCATATCTTGATTTATTCAAGCGAATCAATGAGAAACTAGTGAATAAAATTACCTGACAGCCATAGTACAAGTTGGTATATCTACACCTTCTCTTACATTTGGCGCCACTAAAATGTTAATCTCCTTGTTTCTAAAAACGATCAAGTACTTATCTGTTCTTCTTATTAATCGGAAGTGATTCTACGGTGCTATTAAAAGAGTTTCCGTTATATCCCACAACGAAATCCGGCTTTATATGTCTGAACTCTGGTACATGTTCACTCAAATCTTTCAGTACATGGTGCAATATTTTTGGCAGTTGATCTTTCCTTCGTGAATATTAAACCACAAATGTCTTCGTTTGAAGATGAACTGTTGAAAAGTGTTACGTTTATATTAGTATTAATATTTATGACATTTACTTTTTTAAAATAGTTAAATACTACGATAAACTGGGAATGTGGGATGAAGCAGAAATGTTTCTGTAACCCAATTTAGGTATGTATAGCAAGTCTTACGCAAGACAATAATAAAAACAGATAGAATTCGAGGGCGATTCTTGGAAGAAAAATTCATAGTATTTCTAAGGCAACACCGACCGGAGTGCTATAATTTTAGCATACATTTACAGGTTATAGGTCTAATGATAAATAGAAAGTGATTAAAATTTAACTTCAATTTTCGTAAAATAGCTGAGATATGCCATCTTGCAGTAGCCTGAAATGAATACCCGACAGGTTACCCATCACCTGATAGTCTGTGGTTCTCGCCGCTAGATGACGCTACATACAAACGTCATCTGTCAAACGTTATGTGTATCATTGATAAGTGTGAGTTGTGTCTCTAAGCGCTAGATGGTGTCGATGTCGCACTGGTGTCGTAGAGTGACCACATACAGGGGTCGATAGAAATTTTTGGGGCCCTACCGACGGGTCGATGAACCGACGGTATAACGTCAGATCGAAATAAGCTCCATTCACATGGAGGTGTGTGTGGAATTGCTCGTGGGAGACACGGACCTTGTCGTATATAGCAAGACGTGTCCTAAAATGGTGATACCCATTGGTCGCTCAGCCATACAGGTCGGTCAGACAGAAGTTTTTGGGACCGGGGTGCTCTGATTGGTGGATCAGACGGCGGGAAATTTGAACGGTGTTGATGGTATAGCTGAATGGTGGACGGCGGGGTCGGGTGCGTTGGTAATCACCTATGTCGCAAATGAGGTTAGATAGATAGTCGTTCAGTGAAGGTGTTGTCGTAGCGGTGATATGCAAGAAGTACTGCTCGCGGGGGTGTCAACGAGTTAATATTGGCCAACGATAACAGCGGTGACCCTGGAACACTGTTGTCACACGGTTGCAAAAGATGACAGGTTATCTCTTAATTTTCGTAAACAACGATTTTTCTAAAGTGGTAAAAACAGGTCGAAATTTTAAATACCTATGAATCACCGCAAATTATCTTGTCAGTTATCTGCTGCGAACAAAACATGCTCAGCTCAGACTTATCTAAAAAGTGGTGGGAAAATCGATATTATAAAAATATTTATGAATCACCGCAAATTCTCTTAGACGTGCTCTTATCAGTTCAGACTTAGTTAAAACTGGAGGGTAAAATCGAGATTATAAATACCTATGAATCACCGCAAATTACCTTGTCAGTTATCTGCAGTGAACAGACGTGCTCAGTTCAGACTTAGCAATTCCCAACGCTCCTCCGTGGCCATTCCCCTTACCCTCTCGCGAGTGCGGGCATGCGCATGCGGCTCGTTCTGGTCTATAGACATATGATCGCTAATGATCTTGAACAAAGATGTCCTGATACACGAACCGCCAGAGGTACATCAGAAGTAATGTTAGTATTGTGTGTGCGTGTTTTTTGAACACGCTAAGTCGTGATGTACATCACGTGACGTACGTCACGTGACCTACGTGACGTGCGTGTGACAGGTGACGTACGTGTGACAGGTGACGTGCGTCACGTGACACGTGACGCACGTGGCACGTGACGTGCGTCACCTGTCACACGTACGTCACCTGTCACACGCACGTCACGTAGGTCACGTGACGTACGTCACGTGATGTACATCACGACTTAGCGTGTTCAAAAAACACGCACACACAATACTAACATTACTTCTGATGTACCTCTGGCGGTTCGTGTATCAGGACATCTTTGTTCAAGATCATTAGCGATCATATGTCTATAGACCAGAACGAGCCGCATGCGCATGCCCGCACTCGCGAGAGGGTAAGGGGAATGGCCACGGAGGAGCGTTGGGAATTGCTAAGTCTGAACTGAGCACGTCTGTTCACTGCAGATAACTGACAAGGTAATTTGCGGTGATTCATAGGTATTTATAATCTCGATTTTACCCTCCAGTTTTAACTAAGTCTGAACTGATAAGAGCACGTCTAAGAGAATTTGCGGTGATTCATAAATATTTTTATAATATCGATTTTCCCACCACTTTTTAGATAAGTCTGAGCTGAGCATGTTTTGTTCGCAGCAGATAACTGACAAGATAATTGCGGTGATTCATAGGTATTTAAAATTTCGACCTGTTTTTACCACTTTAGAAAAATCGTTGTTTACGAAAATTAAGAGATAACCTGTCATCTTTTGCAACCGTGTGACAACAGTGTTCCAGGGTCACCGCTGTTATCGTTGGCCAATATTAACTCGTTGACACCCCCGCGAGCAGTACTTCTTGCATATCACCGCTACGACAACACCTTCACTGAACGACTATCTATCTAACCTCATTTGCGACATAGGTGATTACCAACGCACCCGACCCCGCCGTCCACCATTCAGCTATACCATCAACACCGTTCAAATTTCCCGCCGTCTGATCCACCAATCAGAGCACCCCGGTCCCAAAAACTTCTGTCTGACCGACCTGTATGGCTGAGCGACCAATGGGTATCACCATTTTAGGACACGTCTTGCTATATACGACAAGGTCCGTGTCTCCCACGAGCAATTCCACACACACCTCCCATGTGAATGGAGCTTATTTCGATCTGACGTTATACCGTCGGTTCATCGACCCGTCGGTAGGGCCCCAAAAATTTCTATCGACCCCTGTATGTGGGTCACTCTACGACACCAGTGCGACATCGACACCATCTAGCGCTTAGAGACACAACTCACACTTATCAATGATACACATAACGTTTGACAGATGACGTTTGTATGTAGCGTCATCTAGCGGCGAGAACCACAGACTATCAGGTGATGGGTAACCTGTCGGGTATTTCATTTCAGGCTACTGCAAGATGGCATATCTCAGCTATTTTACGAAAATTGAAGTTAAAATTTTAATCACTTTCTATTTATCATTAGACCTATAACCTGTAAATGTATGCTAAAATTATAGCACTCCGGTCGGTGTTGCCTTAGAAATACTATGAATTTTTCTTCCAAGAATCGCCCTCGAATTCTATCTGTTTTTATTATTGTCTTGCGTAAGACTTGCTATACATACCTAAATTGGGTTACAGAAACATTTCTGCTTCATCCCACATTCCCAGTTTATCGTAGTATTTAACTATTTTAAAAAAGTAAATGTCATAAATATTAATACTAATATAAACGTCACACTTTTCAACAGTTCATCTTCAAACGAGGAAATTTGTGGTTTAGTATTCACGAAGGAAAGATCAACTGCCAAAAATATTGCACCATGTACTGAAAGATTTGAGTGAACATGTACCAGAGTTCAGACATATAAAGCCGGATTTCGTTGTGGGATATAACGGAAACTCTTTTAATAGCACCGTAGAATCACTTCCGATTAATAAGAAGAACAGATAAGTACTTGATCGTTTTTAGAAACAAGGAGATTAACATTTTAGTGGCGCCAAATGTAAGAGAAGGTGTAGATATACCAACTTGTACTATGGCTGTCAGGTAATTTTATTCACTAGTTTCTCATTGATTCGCTTGAATAAATCAAGATATGCTAGAGGAAAGCTCGTCACCGATAAATTGCATATAATCACTAGCTCAAGCATTCTAGCCAGATCTTTGCATATCAATTAAAATTAAGTTTGAGTCACTGTTCGTAGGCTCTAGGGTACGAACGCAGCATCGGTTTCGACCGAATTTGGCCAAAAATGCCCCTTCGACGACACATTTGGTCGTAGGCTCATGAACCCTACGGGCAAAGGTTTGGAAAAGATCTGGTCGCGTACCAAGCGGACATAAACATGGTCAGCGTATGAAAAATACTTTTTCCTCAACAATTAAACAATTACATGGCTTCTACAATATCTGATTGTTACTTTCTACCATATTCTATCCGTAATTTCAACAAGAATATTAAGTGACTCTACTTTGTTGCATTTTGTTTTTTTTGCTAGCGCCATAGTCTAACCTTTTACATGCACAAAATAGAGGACCCACCGGTAAATTGTCGATACGGCTGACCAAAGAACTGAGGAGATTATAAGTAACTATTCTAAATTAAGTATATTTCGGTGTTTACCCTGTATCCCCTACCATTTATAATATATTATTTTGATTTTTTAATTGTATAATTTTAAAAATATCTGCATTTTAATAGTACATATGTTTTATTATCAACTTTGTAGATTAATGTATGGTCTTATCGTGAAACTGCTTTTGCAGTAACTATTATTTCCGTTATAACGGTGGGAAGCAAATATGTGTTTTCATATCCCAACGAATGTCAAAGGAAACAGTATTATCGGATACCAGCGCTGATAGATGTTATGCCTTTTCAGTATGTGTTTTTTTCTGTAGCCTTCGGTTGTCTCTGGTGCTGTTTCGAAGTTCTATGAGGTTATTGTGCTTCTCAATTTTTTCGGTGCTCATAAAAAATAGTATAGCTATTATCGAAAATATAGTTTTTATTTCTACTTTTCGTAATAACCATTTACGTAGTGATACGAAGTTCTACATGGTTATCATGCTTCTCAATTTTTCGTGCCCGTGCAGTACAGTGTTGGTACCCGTGCAGTGCAGTGCCCAACACGTAAGATAGTAAAATGATTATTATTGTAAAAATAGGAATTCAAAACTCTATTTTATTAGTAATAATCGATTACTTTTACGTAGTTTCCTCTCTACACTGCTTATGAATCTGCTGTATTTTTTATTTTCCAAGATATGTTTTTTTGTGATTATACAAAGTTCCACATGGTTACACTGCTTCTCAATTTTTTTTGGTGTATATTACTGCAGGCGTTTAATAATAACAATGCATACTTTTAAATATTTTATATGGAGTAAAAAGGCTGAACAATTTCGGGTGCAAAAATATTTTTCAATTAGGCGGGAAATAAAAAACAAAAAATCATTTGCATACATTTTATTTTACATGTTTATTAAAAAATATTTACATACATTAATAAATCAATACTTTATTTTCTTAAATCCAAATGGTACAGAGGTATGATCTTCATAGAATTTCCTTTTCATTGAAGTTATCTTGTATACCTTAGGAAACTCGACTGTTACTACTGCATGCTCTCTTGTACGTCGTAGCTGTCGAGAAAGTACAGAAACAGGATCAGATTTCTTCAGCACCATGTCTTTTATTTTCTCAAAATTGACTACTTGGGATGCCTTGTAGTTGAGTGATATGCCTTTTACTTTACATACGATCTGTTCCTCTCCAGACAAAGTAGTATATTTGTAGGCGTAGTTCTTAGGTCCTCCAGAAACAAACTCTGATATGAAACCCCCATTGAGCTCATCGGTCATATCACCTATGAAGTCGCCTGTAGATATGTCGTCTAATCCCTTACGAGAGATATAAATACATGAATCTGTATCTACGTAAACTGCCCTTTCTTCCACTTTCTCCAAGAATGAATATAATTTTAGTCTAGCTAGGGCCGTGACATATGAAGCCAATACAACGTTAACCGTTGAAGAAACGTCATAGGCCTCTTCTCTAAATTCCCAAGTTATGATAAGGGTTTCTTCGTTTACCGGGAGAACTGTATTTACATGAATAGAAGGATTAGTCAGCATATCAAAGAATTCACCACAGTCTCTGACTATTGAGGTTTTGTTTTGGTTTTCTTTTTGAGCAAATTTACCCCAAAAGGAATTCAGCATAAGTTTAGCTAACGATCTCAAACAGGGGTTCTCTATAATTTTTGAAAATTCCAGCTTTATGTCTTCTCTATCCAAAAATGCATCAATATAACGGTTTTTTTCTTCATCCGTTAAGCAATGTTTGGGCCATCCTGAAGCTTGTTGTTTTATTTGTAGAAACTTGTTCATCATTCCGCTAAATAACCCCTCTTGGTCTTTACTGAGCTGAATTGTATCGTATTCCCATATTTCGTAAGTCTCTATAATCTGGTAACCTTTTTCAATAGCTTTGAGCACCTCTTCTATCACCCAAGTTCCTTTTAGGCTTCTTTCTTGAATAGAATGCTGACACTCTTCTCGAACGAAATCTTCACCACATTTTTGACAGTTAACAAACATCAATTTGTTGTTCATTTTTGACGGTAAAACGGGGTGATATAAGTTCTGGTTCGGTAGAATCTGGCATTTAATAAGTCCTGACATCTGCGACAGAGAGGCTGTAACACATTCTTCACCTACGTAAATTTTTTTTGGATGACCCACCGGAAATTTTCCATATTTACAGATGAAGGGGTACAGGGAACATATATCGACATATTTTATGCATTCATTTGTTTTGATCTTGTAGTATTCAACGATATTTTCTGTACGTCCCCCGTAGAGAGCGTCTCTGGGGTTAATCGGTAAATTGATTATCAATGGATGTGCTTCTGTGAAGGCTCTAATTTCATCGTTTAGCATTCCTCGAAATTGACATTCCCATATCTCAATTACTTCTAGTCCAAGGCTTCGGAGTCTCTCTACTTTGCTAACTGATTGTTCGTATCGACTTTCCAATGTATTCAACGGATCATTATGCAGAGGATTGCTTCTTTTGTATTTGAAACATCGAGGGCAACCGTGAAAATAGCATCCTTGGAATTCAAACACTTGATTTGTGTCGCTACAAAAACCGTCTACTTTATGTCCCTTAACAATGGTTTCTATACCCTTAGCGGCGTGTTGAATTTTGATTCCTCTTTGATGTTCCTCCCACAACAGCCATTGGATGGCAATTTTTGACTGATTTTCACGCCATCTATAGAACCCTTTTGGAATTACCCCGATCGTCTCAGGTTTTAAAAAATTGCGTCTAAAGACTTTGTTACAGCATGATGCAATAGTGGTGCTTTCCTGGAAGGGATCGACTGTGGTTTCGGTTTTCATCAGGTCTCGAAATTTGAGACACGCCTGTGTCAATATTTCCACATCGGAGATACAGTATTCAACGATTTCTTTCTGAAAATCAAAAACGTATCCCTCCGCTTGTCTTTCGCCATGCCATTTTAATAATTTTTCCCGAGCGTCTTCCTTTAAATGGTCGGGATCGTAGAAGTCGAGCGCTGGAATTGGCCCTACATAATTCTGATGAGCCAAAGTGTTGAATAAATGTGGAAAGTATCCTTTCTTTAGCTCTTTCAAATCAAACGCCTTGGGTAGAGCAGTTAGAGGCATAGGAAAATAATTGAGAGAATCCAGAAATTTTACATTTCCTACCTCCATCAATATTAATTTTGTTCCTCTCATAATTACATTCGGGTACAGACTAGTCTTCTCTAAAATGTAACGAAGTAGAAACTGATGATCAAATCCTCCACCATTATGCGCCAGTACAATGACTTTCTTGAATTTTTTACGAAGTGTCAGAATATGATGCATAAATGGAGAAATGACGTCTTGACATCGAAGAATCTGTATTCGAAGGCCACATTTCTTGCATATAGGATTATCGGTACATGATTCACAACATTGTTTGAATACACATAGATTTGGCTCATGCAGTAAAGATCCATTGGGTAATTCCTTCTCCTGACGGGTTTCCAAATCGTAAAATATTAATAAGACATCATTTGATTTAGGAATACTTCTGTCAGGCTGTATATAGCACATATGTTCAATTGGTTGATTTTTATAACATGTTTTACAAAGTATATATCCGCAGATGTGATCATTACCGTTGTGAACTTTAAAACAGTCTACACATCTTTTAATTTTAGAACAGACCGATGGTAAATGAGCGTTAAAACATTCTTGTCCATAAAAGCTTCTATTACATTCTTTGCATTTGATGTGCTTCGTTTTCAGGCAGGCCGGAGATCTTTTACAAGCATAACATTGTTTATCACATCTATGAATTTGTTTAGTATTATACGGAATGTGGCAGTTCTCACAAAAAAAGCTGCAGCAAAAGGCAGCAGTGAGGGATGTTATGACGCTGTAGTGCCCCTCGTGATATATTAGGTTAAGCGTCGGACCAGCGGACACGCCTTCAAAAATGACGTCACGACCTTTGCACCCAAACTTGTATACAACAATTTTGTAGTTTTGCAGATATCGTTGTAGCTTTTGAAGTTCAGGTATTCCACACCCCTCCTCAGGGATAACAATATCAGCCTTTTCCACAAGTTGTACAGCTCTTTGTCCTTGTATTTTTTCCTCGATCACGGCGGATTCTGCTATAATCTTTGTCTTTGTTCAAATGGGCCATGGCGATGACAAGGGCTCGTGGGAGACACAAATTATCGGTGTTTTTAACGGTGATAATGCCTTTTCTTTTGGCGCATTCCTCATCAAAGGTATTGAAATTCTGAGCTCTACCACGACCAGCAGGCAACCTTACGGACGTAATACCCAAGCAAAAAGTCTCGGTATTCAACCCCACAGAATTTGACTGATAGATGGAAGATATCTTCTCCCATATGTCCTCAGTTGAAACGTCGGAAAACATTTTAAAAGCTATCCATCCTTGACCGCGGGTAAAGTCTTTGGAACAGAAAGTGAATCCAACTTGATCACTGGGCTGGAGATGTTCAGTTCCTTTGGCTACTATTTCCTCCAGAGCGTCTTTGATCCATCCCACAGGTTCGACGTCTTTAGGGATAGGTCGTATTTTAAATTCCACTTCTCGCCCATATAGATTAAATTTTTTAATCTTCTTAGTAGAATCCTTAACGATGAAGAATTTTTCCATTTTTTAAAAACTAAAACGTTAACTAGCGACTAAATCTGAACTGAGCACGTCTGTTCGCTGCAGATAACTGACAAGATAATTTGCGGTGATTCATAGGTATTTATAATCTCGATTTTACCCCCACCACTTTTTAACTGACCACAGTGTTTCAAGGTCACCGCTGTTATCGTTGGTCAGTATTAACTCGTTGACAGCCTGCGCTTCCTGCCCATTCACCCATGCTTAACAGCCCCGCCCGGTACTTCTTGCATATCACCGCTACGACAACACCTGCCCTGAACCTAACCTCATTTGCGACATAGGTTTTCAATATTGTATCAATGTTAAAAATTAACTAACATTAACTGTATGCACCACATATATGAGCAATTCCATTTTTATATGCACACTGAATATGACGTGTTGATTATTGAGATCATCCTATACGCATTGTTTCCCGCGAATTTTATACGTTTTTCCATTTAAACTGAATCAGCAGAATTGCATCTATAAATATCATTATTCATGGGCTTTTATCGATCTATATGCAAATATTTACCGCAAAACATGAAATGAGTCACATCGCTTACGCATAGACGTTATACTACACCTTACTATCGTCGGCTGTCTGAATCACTTCCGGTCGGGTGCGCTATCTAACGGGGCCCGCCAATCAACATATACCATCAACCCGTTCAAACTTCCCGCCGTCTGATCCACCAATCAGAGCACGCGGTGGATCTAGCGGTTCCCGCCAATCAACATATACCATCAACCCCGTTCAAATTTCCCGCCGTTTGATCCGCCAATCAGAGCACGCGGTGGATCTAGCGGTTCCCGCCAATCAACATATACCATCAACCCCGTTCAAATTTCCCGCCGTTTGATCCGCCAATCAGAGCACGCGGTGGATGTGGTGGGCGTGGCCAAAAAGTGGAAGTGGTGGGGGGCGCCCAGAGTGCACCAGTATCTACTCAAGTCAAAATAAAACTGTGCTCCGTTTACCTCCATACCATTGCGAGCTCAATCCCATTGAGCTCATATGGGCAGAGGTTAAAAATTATATAGCTAAGCACAATACAACTTTTAAATTTTGTGACCTCAAAGGACTTTTCAAAGAAGCACTAGAATTAATAACAGCGCAAAAATGGGAAAACTGTATTAAGTACGTGAAAGACAAAGTTGAAAAGAGAATGTGGGAACTGGACGATATTTTAGAGGAACAAGTCGAGCCATTTATTATTGACGTTCGTGCTTCAGGCAGTAGCGATGATGAAAGCTCATCAAGCTCATCTTTCCAATAAAAGCTGTCGTTCATCAAATTCGGTAAGTTATAAGTAATTATAAAGCTACTGTATTTTTTAATTAATTATTGACATTTTTGAACCCATTTTGCAAAACCTATTCAAGAATCTACTTTCTGACAATGTTCAACCATGCACATTTTTTTACGTTTTGAACGTTTTAATTTGGTTACATATTTACCTAGAAATCAAAAAATATACTAATCAATATTCTAAAAGCAATTTTAAGAGATATACGATTATTTTTAATTTAGGCTAATTTAAACGCCATTTTGAGATTATATTCGACTGTATTTCACCAAACATCAGGCGGCATCCGAAGCTGGAAATCGAAGCGAAAATTTTGAAACCCTTATGTATATTTACATCATTATATATTTCTTACCCCACCCCCACATGATCCTATATCCATTACCAATCGTATACACATCGAATTGTGCTAATTTACTACAAAGTTACGCAAAGCAGCATCTACTATCTAAAATATGTACTGCGTGACTCTTAATACGTCCCTGCCGAATGTTACAGCGTTCGATGATCACGTGGTCTTGTTTATGTCCGGTCTATCTCTTATCTGAATATACTGTAAGCGGAATGGTCGGACTTCCTAATCCTTCTTAATTTTATCAACTAACATCGCGAGTCGAGTGTTAGTACACTCGGGGTCGGTAAAACTTGCCTGGCTCCGCCTCCCCACGACTACTACTAATAATTAATAGTTCTAAATTACTTACCTCCGATCTGTGCCCTCTTAGGTTATAGTTCGTTCTCAAGGGAAACTCCACGCTCTTCTTGCAGTGACTGGTCGTAAATGTGACCCCGACGATCCCCCTGACGTTCCCTGTCGCTAACCAGCCCTCCTGGTAATAATTTGTTCTGTTTAGCTTCCATCCCTCGTCCTGCAAGTAACGAAATAATAAATGGCGGCGGGGGTGGGCACAAAAGGCTGGAAAAGTGAACTACGGTGAGTCGATTAAAAGGTCGATACACAAAAGCACTCCCTTGTCACGTGTGATGATCTGTCTGTGATATGGAGAGGTTTTGCGTGAATGTGATCATGATCAGGTTATGTACGGGATGTCTCAGAGAAAAGCTATAGAAGGAGTTGATCGATACCTACGATATTATATTGTAAGTACACCCTTTTAACTATTGTATCCCAGTATACATATAAATATATCATTGGATTGATGTATACTCAAAACATGTATGTATGAAATTCGACCTCGTTCATATACTAAGTGACATATAAATCCGAACACCCAGTTTAAATGGTTTTATTTTAATAAAATTTTGTATAAGTACTTAATGAAGCATAATAAGTAAATGATAAAAATTTCAAAATGATTGCACTGCTTTAAAGCCCTTTGACCTTTAATAATGTGTGGATGTACCCTGATGTGCTACGCATTCTCCAACGCGCCTAGGCATGCTTCTGATCAGGTGGTCAATGTCCTCCTGTGGTATCTCATTCCAGGCAACCACCAACTCCTCTCGAAGTGCTTCTAGAGTCTGAGGAGGACGTTGCAAATTGAGCAATCTCCTACCCATCATATCCCACACGTGCTCAATTGGGGATAAGTCGGGAGATCTTGGTGGCCATGGTAACAATGTGACATCATTATGTTGAAAGAAGTCTATTGTGACTCTTGCAACATGTGGTCGGGCATTATCTTGTTGGAAAGTTGGATCTGCCAGGGTGTCAAGATAGGGTAAAAGATGGGGTTCTAGAACTTCGTGGATATAACGCTGCGCGTTCATGTTACCTCTGATGAAGATTAAAGGTGACCTGGAACCATAAGCTATAGCACCCCAAACCATAACTCCAACAGTGTGATGAACATGTCTTTCAACAAAAAACTGAGGATTCCTCCTTTCACCACGTCGCCTTCTAACCCTGGCACGACCATCGTGCGTGCCTAGACAAAATCGAGACTCGTCACTAAAGACAACACTGTTCCATTCCTGATCCCAGAGTGACCGTTGTCTGCACCACTCAAGGCGATTACGTCGGTGTTCTCGAGTTAAAGGGAGGACCCAGTGTGGCCTGTATGAAAACAAGCCAAAACTTCTCATTCGTCGGTAAACACTTCGCATGCCAATAGGTCTTCCGTGTTCTGCAAACCATTCGTTTGCAATGGACCTGGTAGTCGAGAAACGGTCCCTTAAGGCCAATAATCTTAGGCGGCGATCTTCACGGT